ATCTCATCAATTGGCCTCTCTGCCGCCAGATTCCTGCTAAAGTGCCTTGATTGCATAATGTCTATTTGCATAATGTAAATTGCAATCTCCTAGCTCAGGAGGCAGGAATCACAGAACAGCCATTATTTTTTACCACTCCACAAAAATTCCACATTTAGAAAGCAGATTTGCAGCTTGGAAAGCCTGAATCTGAATCCTCCAGAAACGCCATTAAATCACACCAATTAAGCCGGACCCGCGAAAAGCCCCTGTCACTGCTCTCTACACACTCAAGGACTGCCAGCCTAGATGGAGGCCATGAGAACCTGGAGGCTGGGGCCACGGAGCTGGGAGCAAAGCTGGAAGAGGCAGGAAATTCTGTTTTATAAACCTTAGCACACACCCTTCGAGCATAGGTTCCCATCAAGATCTGGTCGAGTGGGGTGGATCGAGTCTGTTGTTTTTACGCTCGTTGCCTGATTTCCTGTGGGCGCACTGTCTGACTGTCTGTAGATGCAATCTACGGAGAAGAGAGTACGTGAAGAAGAAACCTCCACCTTTCCCAAAGGTAAAGGGAAGATCCAAAGTGTTTCGCATGGGGTAAAACATCCACCCTTTTAGTGGTTCTTTAATGACCTTTTCTGTCTCCTATAAAGTCCCCTCCAGCCCACTGAAAGAAAAAATGAAGACAAACCCTACTCAGGCCAGACTGGCCAGGCTGGTTTCTGAGCTATTTTTGAGAGCTGTTTCCTTACGGGTCACTGGGGTGAGGTGTGAGTTACAAGGTCTCTGGAAAGGGGGCATTCCCTTGGACAGCCAGCCAGGATCCCAGCTTCTCTGCAGCAGTATACCTGGCTAGTGTTTTGCCTCTTTATTGCTCATTCAATATTCATTTGTCAAAGGGCAAGATGCTAATGTGTATTATTAAAATATCAATAGTTAATGAGTGAACTTTTATGGAGAGTACAGTTAAAGGCAAGATTCTTGACCATCTCTGTCAGAAGCAATGGAAAGGAATAGTCTTTCTTTCCAACTCCACTTTTTATTTATTTACTGGGTGAGTGATGGCTGGAGCCTTAGTGAGTACCATTGTATGCCAAGAATGGCTCCAGATACGTGCACATGCTGGATCGCAGTGAGTCCTCACAGCAGTCCTGAGAAGTATATACAACCCCATTTCCATTCCAGAGACGAAGAAGCCAAAGGCCAAAGAGATGTGCCCAGGATCACAGGGGTGCTAAGGTTGGGCTTCAAACCTGATCTTTGTACTTCAAATCCAACATTCTTTCCCACGCTGGAGCCTTGAAAATCTAAATGATCTTTATGTCTGTTTCCATCTGTTTCCTTCACGTACCCAAATTAAATGTTAGCTTCCTGACCTAAGTTTCACAAAAGGGGACAGAACAGGAAACCATTCCGTACTTTCACCTAGACTCAACTCTATAAAGTAGGCCCACTTAGATATATCTAAACAAGTTCCCAAAATCTTATCTGCACATTTAGAATCTTAGAAATGAAGGTAACATTGGGGATGATGTCATCAGAATTTCCATTTACAGAGGAGTAAACTGAGTATCACACAAGAGAACAGTATAAGTCTCAAGTATAGAGAATCCTCAGTTGAATTTCAACTCTGTTACTTCCTAGGGTATTCCTCTTGTTCTCTAAGCCTCCTCTCCTCTTCTGTAATAGAGATAATAACAGCATCCCATAACATAGTGTGAGGGTTCAGTGAGAGAACGCACCGTTAAGTGCTTAGCATAATGCCTAGTATGTAGTAAGTGTCTAATAAGTGGAAGAATCCAAGACTCTCCTGCCAAACTCCAGCACTTTTTATCAAGACCAAGTCCCCTCACCCCTCTCGTCCCTGCCCCCTCCCCTTTGGTGTTAGCAATTCTCAGATTTCAGCCCTTTGGGGATACGGGCTGGTTGTTTCTCCTCTTTGGTAGCTTGGGCTTTTTTCTATCCCCTTAAGTCACAACAAGGCACCCAGGACACTCAGATCCTCTTCCAGGATTTAGCTGCATCTGGGTCAGAAAAATGGCAAAGGAAAGAAACTATAGTTCTTGAAGGGCACAGCCTCCCCAGGACATAATATGTGTCAGACGGGAAGGAAGGAGAGCAGGGGATGTGAGGTCAGTGAGGAGGGGCTGCCCCGAATTCCCCAGCTACAGCACAGCCCCTTAGAGCATCTTACATCCTAATCTTTGTGTGAAGCCTACCCCAGCTTGGAAGTCCATGGGGATGGTGGTCCAGGGAGCCCTGGATGTGAATGAAGGGCTCAAGGCTTGTGGAGTCCTAGCTCACAGTCTAGGACTCCTCCAGACCTGACACTTGAAGATGTGGGTCACAGACTCAACTCAGTCTTGCTGAGATGGACCCTGAGGTCGAAGTTTCTACCAGCTGCAGGACCTGCTAACATCAGCATAGCCTGCCCAGGAAGGAATCCTTGCCTGGCCTCCGCGGGCCCTTTTGACTCAAACATTCTGTGAATTAAGGGATAGTTTAATTTATCTAAGGCAGGGGGTTCTTTAGCCTGTCTTTCTAGGGTGAACAAATCACCCCCAAAGAAGGGTTCCTTTTATTCTTCCTGGGAAATAGATGAGGCTGTGCTATGCCAGACCACTAACTTGATGAGTACTAATTGTGGTAGACTGTATTCTCTAAAGACAACTGCAACAAGATACATCCTATTCCTCATGCTGTTCTTTCAATGTGATGTTGATACTCCTTGGAGAGATGGAGTGGGGGGGGGAGGTATTTATGTTCCCTTCTCTTAAACCTAGGTGAACCTTTGCAACTGCCTCAGTTGAGAGAATGCAGTGGCTGTGATGCTGCTTGCCTTCGAAGGGCAGGTAATAAAAGACAACACAGCTTCCACTTGCTTTTTGCTGTCTCTTGAATGCTCACTCTTGGAATCAAGCTGCCATATTGTGAGGAAGCTCAGGCTACATGGAGCTGTCACATGGGTCTGGCCAAGAGAGACCAGCCAATCTCTCAGCCAACAGCTGGCATCAAAGCCCAGAATGATGACAGAACAAGCCTTTGGATGATTCCAGCATCTAGCTTTTGAGCTGCCCCCACTGAGATTCCATGGTGGCACCTCATGGCACAGAAACAAGCTGCCCCACCACGCCCTTTCTGAATTCCTGACCTGCAGAATAAATGATGTTAAGCCATTCTGTTATGGGTGATTTGTTACATAGCCTAGAAATGGGACACCACTGGAATTAACTTGGAATATTTGCTGTTTCCCTCTCAAATCCAGCCCTCACTGGCCTTGTCTCTGAAACTTCAGACTTTTAGACTCTTCCCTCCTCAACTGGTCCCTATCACCCTGAGCCTGCCTCCCCCTCTGCTCTTCTTCCTTTCACTCCAAAAGGTAGGATCCCCATGCCTGAGGCCACCCTGGTAAACCACTCCCTGAAAGGTCATTTGAATCTTTCCATTTCAGAGCCCTGAGACCTGAAGAAACCTGTGTTTCCTGGTTCCTCTCTGTAGGCCCAAGACTGTGTCCCCGCCAGGGAGCTTTCCTGGGTGTGGTGGCCAGAGCCGAGGTGCCCGGCTGCCCTCAGGGATCGGGGGGATGCGCAGGCCTATTTCCCCCCACGCTCTCAGCTCTCATTAAGGTTCACGCTCAGCTTGCTCCTCATACTTGACTTATGAGGTCCCTCTAACGTCCGACGTGAGGAGACATCGATTCTCACAAAGGTCATTATCTTCTAGTCTGCCCCTCCGCCCACCCCCGCCCTACCTCCTAGGCAGGCTTTCCTGGAACAGGATGGAGGAAGGTACCCTTCCCCCTAAACCCTGGCCTGGAGATCTGACTGCTCCTGAGCAGGGCTGCAGAGGAGGTGCCCTGGGAGCCCAGGCCCGTCAATCACAGAGGCGACCGGCGCTGAATCGCAGGCCATTAGGCGGGAGGGCCGGCGCCCTGCTCACTCACCAGGCAGCCATCGGCAGGATGTTAGCCGATCACAGGGCGGCCATTCTTATGATTTATTCAAATACTCATTACAGTCAATCTATTTTTACACAGAGGTGAAGATGTGCGCTGATAACGGTTAATCATTTATAATTCCATGGACTGGTTGGAAGCCAATGTACTATCAAAGTCGTGGCGGCAGCAGCTCAGCCTCAGGTAGCCCCATAAGGAGGGTGGGGAAACTATGCCCGCCCAGGGCAACTTAGTCATCCAGGTAACCCTTACTAAAGAGCGAGTAGGCTGAGGGTGCAGTGGGCAGACTGAGAAGTAGGAATCCTGGACTTTACCCGCCAGGAGCTCACGGCCTCGCTGGAGAGGGCATGGTAATGTGACAGCCAGAGGTGGGGACGGACGCAGGGGACACAGGCAGGGGCAGCGTGTGTGAGTGCTGCGGAATTTCAGACAGGGAAGAGATCACTTCCAGCAGGCATTACCAAGGAAGGCTCCATGGAGGAGGCTGGACTTAGGCCGGGTCCCACAGGTGGGTAGACTTTTGCCAAGTGGGGAGAACCAATATGAGCAAATAAGCCTAAGTAAGAGGTCAAGCTATTACTGGGCTGATGGAAGGGAAGCGGTCAGCAGCATTTCCTTTTCCCTCCCTCATGCCTCCCCAGAAATAACCAGATGTAAAATCAAGTGCAGGCTATAAACTTGGCCCAGTTTGAGGACTGATGTCGCCACTTCCTCCCCTCACTGCCTCCCAAGCTTAGCCCACAGGCGATAGTGGCTGGGGTCTGGGTCGGCCTAGCAGACTCAACAGCTTCCTTCTCCGGCACTCATGACACATGTAACACATCGAGTCCACCTTAATGCACAATCAATATAGTCTAATTAAATAGGATGTCATATTACAGGGCCTCTTTGTCACATTCAGACATAATCTAATTAGAGCTCCACTGTATTTTATATTCTGACTAGCTCTTTGTTGAGTGTTTCTCTTGCACAATGCATGGCTGTTAAAGATCAGGTTCAGGGCTGGTCTTTAACCCCTAACCTTATTGAGTCAGCATGGAAAACGCCAATCAAAGTTACTTACAGTTCACAGCCCCTTTTCTAGTGAGCGGCATGGAGGATAGAAAGCCTCAGAAGTCCTGCTCCAGACTTCACCTGCCAATGAAAGAAAACATCTTTATAGACTGTGTAAGATGCCGCAGAAGTGAAAGCCAGGGTGGGGATGGGGGTAAACCCAGAGGTGGGTTTGGCTCAGGAAAAAGGCCAGGGCTGGCAGCCACGTGCCCGCAGTGCTGAGTGAGAAAGCTTCCTAGCAAGGGACTCCTGGTGCAAAACCATTATTGTTTAGAGACCCAATCAGGGCAGTGAGAGGTTCACGCCCTCCTCTACCTGCTTGGTGCCTCCATTTCTTAGGACTTGTATTTCCCTTCCCTATAGGACTACCAGAGGAGAGAAAGGGCTCATGGTTGTCAAGTGCCCTGAGCTGACCAAGGTAATAATCATTTACGGGTGCCTCCTACCTATTGGAATACCCCATGCAGGGGAACAGAGCAGAAAGGCTCCTATGAAACTTTGCAATCTAGACAGGGAAGGCTGCAAAAGGCAAGCAAACAACAACACTGACCCTGTTGTCTCCTGCAGGAATATGAAAGTCTTGCTGCAGACGAGAACTCGCAAGTAAAGGTGAAGAGTCCCATAGGGCAGGAAGAAAAATGTGCATGGAGAAGAACGATGGGGCAGGACTGGAAAGAAAAAAGTCTGCCTGCTTTTAATTCTCTTTCTGGAGTAAAACAATTTTGTAAAAATAAAAATCGTCAACACATATTTATCAGTTGTCTGCTCTGTGATCCACACATGCTGAAGCAGCAGAAATAAAATCTATGGGTTCTGTTATAAAAGCACTGCCTCCACATTGCTGGGGAAGGGAGATCACCCACATAAAATAACCCCCAATAAGGCCAGACTGTATATGAAGTTGTGCTAAAGTGTACAGAAGCGATGCCTATTCTCTCTCCACAGAGACACGAAGTCTGCAAGAGTTGCGGCACTCAAGGGGTTTTCATGAGGAGGTGGAATTTGAATGGTGTCTTGGCGGACTGGACAGACAAGAATTGGCTGGTGGGAGGGAGGGAGAGGGCATTCCAAAGAAGGGGGCTATCTGAGCAAGGGCCAAGGGGCAGAAGAGCATGGATAGTCCTGGGATGATGTAGAGACTTGTCTGCCTGAAAGACACTAGAGGAGAGAATAATGCCAGCTCAGCAAGGTGGGGCCAGAGCATTCAGAGGTTTCAGTGTCAGGCAAGAGAGGGCAGGCTAGCCTGTGGGATCACAGAGACATGGAAGGTTGTTCAACAAGGACTTGACATAATGTAAACCCTCACACGTCCCCGCCCTCTTTAGTACTTTCCCTTTAATTAAGACAAGCAAGCCTTTTTGGAAGAAGGTGGAATTTCAGTTAGAAGATTCAGGGATGGGGTGTAGTGAGATGTGCTGAGGAAACCAAATTGACTGTCTTGTTCATGATGACTTCCTTGAGGCAAAGGCATTTCCTCCGGGGCTGTCTCCTTACACCTGCATGATCAAGACTCATAGCTCATGGATATGCCTCAGAGGCAGGACCAGACCACTGGACTACAAACCATTGAGGAAAAGGACCATGTCTTCTGCATCTTTATATCCCCAGAACCTAGCAGAGTGCCCAGGATGTGCTGGGTTCTCAATAAATATCTGCTGAAATGTTGAATGGTGGACTCTTATCATTCCAACCAGAGGCCACCACCAGCACCTCAGAACCAACCCTCGCCTGGCAATGGGTTCCAACTTGTATTATTCTAAACTACTTACATATTACTACTGAGCATGATATGAACTGAACTTGGCACATGAAGTCTCTAGATTGAATTACATGGAGCTGTATGTTCTATCCCTGCCCTCTGGGACTGTCCGTCTGAGACACCTGGGACTTGAAAGAAGATATGGCAGACTTTCCAGGTGCACATGATGCAAAGCTGAGAAAAGCAGTTACTGTGCTGGAGGGATAGATTCAAGATTGTTAGAAAACTTTTAGTAAGCTGAAAGAACAGGCCAAAAGTGAAAAGTCCATTTTTCCTTTACCAGTTTTTATTTCTTGCACAATAACATCATGACAACTACAAATGAAATAATTTTGAAAATAAAGAAAAAATGCCCACAATCTCATTACTCTAAACCATAAAATTAGTATATCCTTCGTCCACATGCAAACCCACTTTTTTTTTTTTTTTACAGACTCTTTTGTAGAAAAGATTTGACAGGAATATATATACCAAATCCCACTCTTACATTTAAAACACGTATTGAAAAAAAAAAAAAAAAACCAGAATGGGGTGACCCAGTTTGAAAAAAAAAAAAAAAAAGACTTGGATTATTTGATTTAAATCCAAGCTCAAAATGAGCCAGGGTGTGATATTGTTGCCAAACTCACTAAATGTGATCATAGCTTGCAGTAATAGCCATATGGTACCCAACTGAGGGTTGAATGATCTCCTCCACTCTGAACTTACCAGTTTGTATTAGTTCTATATGTAGTTTTAGCATATTTTAAGAACTTTGACAATGATAAGTAGAAAAGAGAGGAGAGAGAAGATGTCTAGTGGTTAAATTGTGGGTTAGAAGTCTAGTGGTTCAAAGGATAGGCTCTGGAATCACACTGGACAGGTTTCGATTCTGGTTTGACCATGGGCAAATTACTTAATGCCCCCATGCCTGTTTTTCATCTATAAAATAGGGTTAAGGCTAACTCCTCCTCTGAGGGTGGCGGTGAGGATGAATTACTTAATATACTGGAAGGTTCTTAGAACACTGCCTCACACAAAATAAATACTTGCTGAATGTTAGCTATCTTTCCTGTTGTGGCTGTTTTCCGTATTTATTAGGAGGCCATGAGGCAGAAGATAATGGAGAAAAAACTAGAGATGTATCTTCCTTGTCCCTTTCTAAAATTATCCACTGGTCCTTGCTCTAGTGACTAAAGCAATACAATCCTTCTCCCACATGGTATTCCTCCAAATATTTGAAGAAACTATGTGAGACGGGGACTGTGTTGCTCTAGAGGATAGGATTAGGACTAACTTTAGATGTTAGCGGAAGCCAATCTGCAGTTCAACACAGGAAAGAATTCTCTGGCAATGAGAACCATCCAGAAATGAGCGAGGCTTCCTTGGAAGGTAGTGAACTCCCAACACTGAGAGGAGAATCCTGCACTGGGTGAGAAGCTGCTCAAAGCATGTTTCCCCGATTTGGGTTTCAGCCATCAGTAAAGTGTTGAACAGCATTCGAAGACTGATAGTGTTGACACACTTGTATTTTGATAAAATATTAATAGCATCTTCTCTCACCATCATTTCATGAAATAATTCAACTCCCCCAAAATAAAGAGTGCAAAATCTCACAATAAAGAGCCATCCTTTGAGAAATACAGCATCATGTTTTCTCTCTCTCTCCACACACACACCTGTGTGTGTAGGCACACGCAGTCTCTACACACTGTACTTATGTTTCACTCATCAGTATGCACCACTGAAAAGGTCTTCCTGGACTGGCACTACCCCATGAATGCCTGTTGGGGAACCATCCATGTGCCTGATGTTTTAGGGCCTTCCAAAGCCAGCTGTCTGTGATCCACGCAGGCAAATAATCACGGCAAAGCCTTTCAACTGTGCAATAATGCAACCAGAATTTGAACTCAGGCTTGTCTTATTCATCGTGAAAATAAAATGGAATCATAAATGAGATTGGCAACTCACATTTATAGATATGAGTGAATTTATGAAATGGTAAATGAGGAGGGAGTTGAATGGTCATGCTTATTTGGAAAAGAGGTGGGGAGAGGGATAGAAGAAAGCTTCCCATAGGAGGTAGCGTGATAGAACCTGTCTCTGCATCCTCAAGGATAGGTGTGCAGGCATCTATGAAGCATACCCAGGTAAAGAGGAAGATGAGCTGGGGGTTTAGCAAAGCCATAGGCCTGACACAGAGAGCACCAGACTGGGGTCCAGCCAGACATGGGTGCATGCCGACTCTGTTATTAACTTACTGTTTGATCTTGGAAAAGGAACTTTAATCATTGTATGCCTCAGTTTCCTCATCTGCAAAGTGATAGAGTTAAACTACTAGATCTTTGAAAAAAAAAACTCCACCTGACAATCTCTGAGAGTGCCCAAACTAACCCTTCAGGGAGGGTGCTAAGTCTCTTGCTAGCACGGTATATCATTGAGGCTAAGAGTAAAGATGCTGGAGTCAGTTTCGGGTTCAAGCCAGACCCATCATTAACCTAACCCTAGCTTCTATGAACCTCAATTTTCTCATCTTTAAAAGCGTGCTAACAGTAGCACCTTTAAATGAGATGGTGCATGTACAGCATTTTGTGCAATGCCCAGGACATATTAATAACTTAATTAAGAAATGGCTGTGGCCGGGCGCGGTGGCTCAAGCCTGTAATCCCAGTACTTTGGGAGGCCGAGACGGGCGGATCACGAGGTCAGGAGATTGAGACCATCCTGGCTAACACAGTGAAACCCCGTCTCTACTAAAAAATACAAAAAAACTAGCCGGGCGAGGTGGCGGGCGCCTGTAGTCCCAGCTACTCGGGAGGCTGAGGCAGGAGAATGGCGTAAACCCGGGAGGCGAAGCTTGCAGTGAGCTGAGATCCGGCCCCTGCACTCCAGCCTAGGCGACAGAGTGAGACTCCGTCTCAAAAAAAAAAAAAAAAAAAAAAAGAAATGGCTGCAACTCAATAGGAAAAAGAGAGGCAAATCCAGAAGACTGAGGACTTCTGCATTCATCCTGCTGCCCATGACAAATTTTCCTATTCTTTCCCAAGCCAGACTTTGGGGATGGGGACCAAACTGTGATAGCTCCTTCTTGAACACCAAGAGTCTCTCTGGATGCTCCTGTCCTCTACAAAGCCCTCTGTAGGCCTATAAGCCAAGCTTCCAAAAGAGAAACAAAACTTGGGTGGAAAAATCTGACTGCGATAGGCCATTCCAGGAGCAAACACCTGATGGACCATTCGTCCCTCCAACAGCATATCTGCAGCTCCCACCATATCTCACCGAGTCCCTGCTCTGTTCCATCTCTATACCCTCATCACCTGACAATGTTTTGCAGTTGTTTACACTTGTTCCATGAGGTTGTCAGTCAGGCACTGTGAACCCTGACCAGCAGGCTCTAAATGACACAATAGCTGCGTAATTAAATAGATATAATTACCTAGTGCTAACTTCTTGGCTCTGAGACTCTTATGTATCCAGCACTGAGGGTACTACACAGCTTTCTACAAAGCCCAGTGGGCCTGGATGCTAATTCCACACTAGTCCTCAGCCCGGTGGACCACAGGCAGTGCTGGGCACCCAGTTGCAAAGGACCTGGAAAGGGTCCCTCTGTGACACTCCTCAGGCCCTGCCCAGGCCAAGTCTCAACTCTTGGGCCTGGACCTGTCGGTATAAGTATGAACATGAAGTCCTCTTAGGAATGTTGGCACTGGTGGGTTAGCCCTAATATTTATCCCATATGGGAGAAAGAACTGGACACACTTATGACCTTTCTATGCTAGGCAGAAGCAAGCAATTTACCTCCAAGCCTGGGATGGAGAGACTCACATACACTGAGTGGTGTGGGCTCACAGAGTGGCCTGGTCTCAGCAGTTACAGGTAAACCCTCGAGCATGAGGGTGGGCCTGCTCACAGGCGAGTCTCCCTAGCCCCATGGACATCCTCTGTGGTGCTAAAACACCAAGACCCAAGACTTGCTAATTCTCCCTCACAAGCATCGCTGCTCTTCTACCCATCCCATTGGCATTGACCCAACTCTCCTTGTCTCCAGCCTCAATCTGTTTTTGCCCATCCACCCTACCACCCCTGCCCTGGGAATCTTTCTAAAACACAATTTCGATCATGTCCACGTCTCCTTTAATACCCTTCCAGGACTCCTCGTTGACTGGCAGAGGTCACCAACTAGTAGCCCCAAGGTTGACTCTTGCCTGTCCAGTGTTTTTATAAATTCTGCCAACATCTAAACCTTGTGAAATTTCACATTTAGAAATCTGGATTCCTAACTTTTCTCCAGAAACCGTATGGCCTAACCATGCCAATTCTGCATTTCCACATGTCGATCATTGGATGACATAGAGTATCAGCTGCCTCCTTTTAACTGGGCACATGTCCTCCTGTTTGCCCCATAGAGAGAAGGCAGGTGTTGCCCCGGAAGCCTCGGGGCCAGACACCTAGAGGCTGATTGACGCTGCCTGCTGAGCAGTATCGGGTTCAAGGTGATAGCGTGGAGGTGGTGGGGGCGTCGCATTTTGTTCTCAGCTGTGCCGTACTCAGCTGCAGGCTGGAGGAGGAGGGCCAGGAAATGCCAGCACTGCTCCCACATGGACCCACCAAGTGTCCCTTCCTCTCACCTGGGCAACTCCTCCACTCCTAGTTGGGGAAGAGCTGGGGAAAGGTCTTACTGCAGTTTCCCAGGAATGCCAGTGGCCAGAAGGCAGGTGCTGAAGGCCTCCCTTCATTGCAGACACTTTCCCCACCCCCAACTCTGTAGCGGTTGCACCCCTCCCTTTATTTCCATCCCACTCCTCCTATCAAAGCCCTAACAGCACATATTTTGTTAATTGTACAAACCTAATGGGGGAATGCATTGGCAAAAAAGGGTAATGGCCATCAGACCAGCAATAAAACAAAATTAATGGCCCATAGGAAGAAATCATGTCCACTTAATCCTGGCTCTGAAACTCTAATAGAATAATGGAATACCAACCGAGGGTTTTTTCTCTCTATGCAGATTGCTTACACCATGTTAATCACTTGCAAAGCAGGCCACATACCACTTCAGCTCACATGACCCTCCAGGGAAAGTAGCAGACCAGAAACATTCAGTGCAAGGCTCATTACTGACGTGCACCACGCAGCAACACCTTCCCTCCCTCCCCCAGGTGACTCCAGGACAGCCAGTGTGGGGTGTCATTGACAGCCATCAGGTGTGGTGGGCCGGAAAGCAAGACACATAAGACCTAATAATAGCAAACATTTATTGAAGGCTTACTATGTGCCAGACACTGGGCTTGCTGAGCCCCTTCTATGGACTGCATGACTGCCACCCATTTTCAACCTCTGTCGCTGCATGGTGCAGTCAGGTAGCCAATGGCCACGTGTGGCTTTTAAAATTCAAATTCTAACTAATTAAAACGAAATGAAATGTAAATTCAGTCTTCAGTTTCACTTGCCACATTTCGAGTGCTCAATAGCACATGTGGCTAGTGGTTGTGATACCGGACGGCTCAGACAGAGCACGTTTCTCTCATCATAGAAGGCTGTGCAGGACTGAGTTGCTCTAGAATGTTAAGGCTATTGTATCTTTTTTGTTCAACTGATTTTGAAATAAAGGAGGGGAGAGCTGAGGTACGCTACCCACGGTCATGCCATGCCGCTGATACACAGCTGAGCTGGGTTCTAACCCTCATCTAACCCAACCTAGTTCCAGCCAGGACCAGCAGTGGAGGCAGCATGGGGCCTCCTGAGCCTTTCAAGCCTGGTAGAAAGTCTCTTCTGTTATCTGTGGCTCCTCCGGGGCTCTCTGAGAAAGTGCCTTTTGTGGCAGGTGGCACAGACCCCGTAAGGTCAGTAATTGCTCAAAAGGCGTTAGTGAAGAAAATGAATATTGACTTAAGGGACAGCAGAGAATAATTAAGACACCTTAAAAACGTACATCCACTTTTTACGTACTATATACCCAAAGGAAGCAAAAGTGGTGACTAAAGCAGATACTTGTACACTTGTGTTCATAGCAGCTTTATTCACAGCAGCCAAAAGTGGGAGCAACCTAGTGTCCGTCCACAGACGAACGGACAGACACAGTGTGGCATGCATGTGTCTACATCCAATGGAATATGATTCAGCCTTAAGAAAGAAGGAAATTCTCACACATGCTACAACATGGATGAACTCTATACGGTTCTACTTGTATGAGGTACCGAGAGTGTCAAACTCAGAGGCAAAAAGTAGACCAGTGGTTTCCAGAGGTTCAGGTGAATGATGAGGGACTGGGGAGTTGTTGCTTAATGAGTACGGAGTTGCAGTTTTGCAAAAGGAAAGGCGTTCTGTGGATGGATGGCCGTGATGATCGCACAACAATGCGAATGTACTTAATGTCACCAAACACTAAGGCTCATTACTGACATGCACCACCTAGCAACCCCTTGCCTCCCTCCCCCAGGTGACTCCAGGACGGCCTGTGCAGGGTGTCACCGAGAGCTATTGGGGTGCTTAAAAATGCTTAAGATGGCAAATTTTATGTGATGTATGTTTTACCACAATTAAAAAATATGTATATATGCCACCACTAATGTCTCCCAATTTCTATCAAGAATAGTAAAAATAAAGAGCCTGAGATCTTTAGGAGTAGGGGAAGGAGCAGCTCATCAGTCCAAGGAGAAGATAAAGGAGCCAAAGCCTGACAGACAGAGCAAGGAACCCAGAGCCTCCCAGCTCCAGTGGAGAGAAGTCAGGGGAGAGGCTGCCAGGGAGGAGGGCCTACGTTCCTGAGGATGGGATGGCTGGGCCAACCTCCAACAGGGAAGGCAACTCCAGAAAGCTGATGCTGGAAAAATGAGCAATGATTTAGGATTTAAAAAAAAAAAAAAAAAAAAGCCTCGTGAGGGTAAGAGAGGGGGCCAATTAAGAGTGTAAGAGAGTATCTACACTCCTAGTTGTGCCGTCTAGAAGTATACCCACAGCAATAAAACAATAAGCAGGAAATCTAAAAGAAGAGGGGAATAGGAGGAAGAGAAACAGATGAGAGGATCTGGGCACCTAATGTGATACAGCAGTAATGGTTTGGCGTGTTGGAAAGGGGGTAGACAGGACCTAGGAGACGGCCCTTGTCCTGACAGTGTTATGACTCTGTGCACATTGCCCTAACTCTCCGGGCCTGAGGTTCCTCATCTATTCAACCCAGTGGCTGTACCAGAGCAAGAAGAACCTTAAGGTGGTAGCGGTCCACAAATCCCTGGAAATTTTATCCAGAATAGTATTTGTGTGTAAGTTTTTCTGGGGAGAGGTTTACAGATTTTACCAAGATTTCAAGGCTGTCCACATCCCCTGAGAGGTTAAAAATCAGTGGAGAAGACACTCACTAGGTTCACATTCAGCCAGAAAGTTCTACAATTCCAAGAAATCTTGGACCAGACACCAGTAAATCTTTGGGGAGTCAAATAAATCCAGATGTTTATTCCTGCCTTGCTTGCCACACAGACATATTATAAAAATGAAATGAAATAATTATATACTTTGAAAAGTTAATATTACGTGTCTTGTGCAAGTAAATATTGCTGTTGTTGATTCACAGGAAGCAAGAGAAATTCTGCAGCAGGCAGAAAGGAGGAGGCGAGAAGCCGCTCCTCTACTTCCTGAACAAAGGCAGTGTGAGGAAGGGATGTGAAAGTGCCACAGGGT